AATAAAACAATAAAATTTAATTAAAGTAGATGTATAACATTATTAACTTAGAGCTATTTAGGATAAACGAATGTAGTTTCATGTTACAATTTGAAGTCATTCTAGAAAGGAAAAAAGGGGTAAATTAGGTTTATTTAGATTTATTTTTGGTGGTTATGAGGTCGGTAAAATTGACTGAATCCCATATAGAGATAGAGTACAGAAAATAACAGATAAAATATAAATTTTTCTGAAAAAAAGGTTTGAAATGTATTTAGGAGGTTTTAGGGATTCATAACAAATACTCAACACATTCATTGACAAATCTTTATTTTAGTTTATTAAAAATACTTCACTAAGAATGTGATTTTTTTTGTATGTGAAAGACTTATAATGTTAACTGAAAGACTGCCAAATGTTTGTGAAGATGCACACACTATATTGAAAGTTAGAAGTATTAAATCTATAAAGACTAAATGAATACAAAAAGGATACCGAGCCCGTGTTGAGAAAGCTATAACATTCTAGAGTGCTCATATGTTTGCATGTTGGGCGAACTGTGGATAATTTAATTTTTCATGTTCGGCAGATAATTGGTTGCTTTTATTTTTGTGTGTATAAGCAATCTGTGTTGGACGAACCCTCATTGTTGGAGGGTTTACTGTATTTCATTTTGTGTTTAGATACTTATTGATTAACTTTTGGGATACCACCATCCACTCCTCCTTGGTGATTCTTTACTGCTGTTGCAAAAAATGCTAATTGGTGCACATTTATATTAATTTTTACAATTTGAAAACTAAGAATATGTTTCTTGTGTTCAAACACCTTGCCTTAGGATACTCATTATAACTATTGGATTTGAACTCCTTTTTATCCTCAATTTCATACATGGAATGTCAACAAAACTTTGGATGTCACTTGTTAGCCAAAATTTACCAGAGTGGGATTCTGCAAGTAGCATTTTCTGTATTTTATCTTTTGAACTACCAATATATTTATATTCTCTTGGATCCAATCTGCAAAAACATGTTATACATGATAAAAGTTAACACAAACTTTGATTTCAGCCAGTAGCTTTGTAATTTCACTATAGTTTGAGCACACAAACAACTATTATTACCCTGTTAGCATAATTTATATAGTCACCAAGTTAATTTAAGGGTTGTATAAGCTAGGCATGTTTTTATTTAATGAAAATTTCATTTTTTTTTTATCCTTCATTGAAGAAAAGGCTTTTTGTTTAAAACCTTAAAACTTAATAAGAATATATTCTTTTTCAGCTAGCTTAACTAGCTTTATTGAACAAAGAAAAAAAAATCCCATACTTCATCAACATTGTTTCTGTTTAGTTAGCAAACCAGTTTTTCTTCCCCAAAAAATATTTTGGATTTTTTGGAAACCAGTTTTACAAAAGGTTGAGACATGACTTGTAGTAGCTCTAAAAGTGGTTTTAGTAAAAATATGATAAGTAATGATGTTATATTTTCTAATACTCGCGTGCTTTGCACAACCAGTACAGCATCTTCTATAGTAGTGTAGGATCTTTGTTTTCATACTAAGAATCTTAAAATCTCCTACAACCTTGTTAAATTTTCAGTTTCATATGATGAAGACAGTTGAAAAAATCTTATACAATAAAATATATTTTGTCTTCTTGCATCTTTATGAGGAGTGATACTGTTGAATACTGCTGATTTATACCAGGCTTGAGATTAGTAGTTAACAAATTCTCAAATTAGTAATTCTACCTTATCATTATCTCGACTCACTTGTGATAAGTACATTACATTTTAAGATGTGTCATGCTGTATCTGTAGAATTCATAAAGTATCTTTAGGTGACTCTCATTCTCAGGAATTTTTTACACAGATTATGTAATCTATATAAATATATGTATGCTTACATGTAGAATTTACATTTACAAGTCAGTTATTAAATGAAATTAGAATAATTATAATGTAATGACATTGCTAAGAAATTCAATCAGTAAGTAAGTTTGCACAATTATTTTTGAAGTCTTATATATCTGAATGCAATACAGCAGTGGTATAATGGCTGTTACAAGCATGAAAGCTTTAAATATATTCATTTCTCTAAATTCTTCATAGCTTCATGTTTCCTCTTTGCACAATCGCATTACATTTGTTATTAATGTTTTTCAGTTCTAAAGAAGAATTTAGTCTCCACATGCCAAAAATACCTTGTTTGGAGGTTTTGTAGAGTAATTTTGTACTTGGTCAAAAACTCTAATTTTAAGATTTAGTTAAATTTTGCAGCTGAGAAAATGATATGGTGAAGCAGTTAATGAATGAATAATTACATCTTGTAAACTATATTGCTGTATTTTTGTAAAATGGTTAAATGGAAGGGTAAATAGTTTGGTATACAAACTTATGAACACAAACTTCTCTTGTTTAATGTTTTTTTTGTATTTTTTTAAGACTTAGAGAACAGTAGTCCTCAAGACTGGTCACCAGAAGAGATGTGTTGTTTTTGTCGTGCAAAGAAGCAACCACCATATGTAAGTATGCAGTTTCATGAGAAGTATTGATAAGCACTATTTTTGGCATTGTTATGTCTTCATCAAAGGAAATGAATGGGATAAACTTGAAGTTCAACATGAATTTTTTCCATGTTGTGTGAACTTTCTGTTTTTTTTTGTTTTATTCTACTTCAAAACATTACATTTATTAAGCTTTATTACATATGTAAGTATGCAGTTTCATGAGAAATATTGATAAGCACTATTTTTTGGCATTGTTATGTCTTCATCAAAGGAAATGAATGGGATAAACTTGAAGTTCAACATGAATTTTTTCCATGTTGTGTGAACTTTCTGTTTTTTTTTGTTTTATTCTACTTCAAAACATTACATTTATTAAGCTTTATTACGATAGTTTGACACATGTGGTTTTGCCATTTAAATTTTGTCTTGTTTTTGTGAGAATAAAATACAGCTACTATAAGTACATTCCTATACACTATATTGTCCACAGATACTATAGACTTGATTTTTTACTGAATTATTATTTTTAAAAGTAAAATTATTCTCATCTGTATATTAACTCTTACCACACGAGGTTTGTCGATGGGATTGACCATGCAATCACAAAGTAATCTTCAGAGTTTCCATACTATAACTTTTAATGTGGTATGTTTATCTTTTCAAAATTTGACAAGCTTTCAGTAGGCATTACAAGAATTATGCACACAAAAAATTAGGTATTTTTGATAAAGATTTGTCTGTAAATAAATGGAGCTAGTGTTGACTGCTCCAAGTGCAAAGTAATTTTCATGTTAGGATTAAAAATACTTTTCTTTATTTGAAAATTTTTAAATTTCATTTGCTTAACCTATAAAACCTAAATAAATATCAGATTTTTTTTTTATTAAAACTTTATATTTTTATGTTTTTGCTACCCTAACTGTATAAGGACTGGGTTGATTTGATCGACCTTGTAACCGCCACAAAAAAGTATGAACTAAATTAACCTTTTTTTTCTGTCTAGACTGTAACAAAAACTAAAAATTTTTTATCCTAAATAACTTAAGGTTTATAACAGTCTATGTTCGTCTCTACTTAATTTTATCATTTTATTGCCCTTTGAACCATGACTAACTAATAAAGCTGTAAATTACTTGACATAGCTACTTGATCTGAGCACTGCGAGATAAACTTGTAAACTGAAGATAAAATACCTAATAGTCTGTACTGAAAATAACATAGCATTTAATGTTGTTTGATAGATTAAAATTTTGTTTTTCTGTTGGTTATAAATGATATAATATGAAACTTCAGAGAGAATTATTGGTAATTTGTGAAAAAGAGGGTGAGATAAGTGGGTGTGGCAAGTGGGTTTGATTTTCTAGTTTATGGCTACATGAATAACTAAGATTGAAGGCTATAAAATTATGCTTTGCCTGAGTAAAACTATTATAATGAGTAATTTACATTAAATTCTATACTTCTTGGAGGGGTGATAAATATATTAGAGAAGAAGGAAGACATAGAGATCAAATGTCACAATTCAATTCCCATATTAGGGAAGATGGAAGATTTGTTCAAGTATTTCCTTATAAAATTATGAAATTAAAACATACGTATATAGTATTAAAACTTGATCTATCAACTACGTTTGAATGCTAAGTTTATTCATATACAATTACAATAAAGTAGTTTAACTCTCTGAACACAGGCTCAGTCAATTTGACCAACCACGTGACCTCTTTGTACTTGTTTAAAGTCTTTCTAGCTTTGATACTACTAACTTTTAATATAGTATACCCTCACAAAATTTGGCAGACTTTCAGTAAACATTATAAGTTTTTTCACATACAAAAGAATATTTCTAATAAATTAAAAAACGTTTTTTCTGTGAATATATGGACTATTTGTTTTCACTAGTCTGTGTGCAGAGAGATTTTCATGTTTAGATTAAAAATACTTTTCTTCATCTCAAAAATCTCAACTTTCATTTGAGTTATCTCTAAACCTCCCAAATACATTTCAAATGTTTGTTTTCAGTAAAACTTTATATTTTATCTCTAATTTATTTTCTCTACCTTACAACTGTACAAAGTTGGTTAAGTTGACCAACCTTGTAACCATACACACACACACACACACACACAAAAATCTAAATAAATCTAAATTATCCTTTTTATCTTTCTAGAATGACCTTATGTTCTGGGAAATATGGTAAAGTGTATGTATACATACACTTTTATTTATAGCAACAAGTCAGCACATAACATGGAAAGATATCTATTTAATATTTAACTCTCTCCACACATACTCGGGCAATTTGACAAACCATGCAACGTTTTTGCACTTGTATAGTCTTTATAGATTTGATACTACTAACTTTTGATATATAGAGTGTATATCTTCACAAAATTTGGCAGACCTTCAGTAAGCATTACAAACCCGTCATATGCAAAAAA